CTCTTGCTTGGTTGGGAGTGAAAGAAGCAACTCAAGCTTGTCAGACTTTTCTTCAAGAGATTTCAGATCCATTTTTGACTCTCTAGTGTCTTCACCACCATCTTTATTGCTTCTATCAAACTCATCATTGTAAATTGAGCCACTCTTGGCCATGTTCTCCACAAGCTCTAAAGCTTTAGCTTCAGCTTCAGTTCTTCCCAAGAAAAAATCATTGCTACCAGTGTTTAGCATGCTCCTATACTTTGGCAAGACTCCTCTGTAAAAGGTATTAAGCAAGCTCTTCTTACTGGAATCATGATGAGGACACTGAGTGATGAAGCCATTAAACCTCTTCCATGCTTCACCAAAGCCTTCAAGGTTCTTTTGAATAAAACCAGATATTTCATTCGTAAGCTTCACTGTTCTTGAAGTAGAGAAGAATTTGGTGAGGAAGGCTTTCTTACATTCATCCCAAGTGGTGATAGAGTCTCTTGAAAGGCTCTTCTCCCAATTATGGGCTTTATCACCCAAAGAGAATGGGAACAACCTCAACTTGAAAGAATCTTCAGAAACACCATTGATCTTTGTTGTCCTACATAGCTTATCTATCAATATGGTTTAGAGGATCTTAAGGGAAAGACCATGATACTTGTTGCTTTGGATCATGATGATAAGGCTGTACTTGATCTCAAAGGTGGTGTTCTGAACAGCTGGAGCTCGGATAACGGCTCTATGCTCATGAATGTTTGGTTGATCATAGGCGCCAATGGCTCTAGCTTGAGGTGGGTTGGATTGTGGTCTAAGGTTGGCAGCTCCTTGACCAATGCCTCCTTGAGGTAAGTTGTTGTTTCTCTCCATCTCTAGCCCAGAATCTTCTAGTTGGGCTAGCCTCTCTTCTTCTCTTCTTCTTCTTCTTATCAACTCTCTCTCTCAAGAGTTTGGAAGTCTGGAGCTTCAGGTAAAAGGTTTACATCTCTTCTACTTCTCAGGTTCATCATACACCTGCAACCAATCCAATGGATACAAACAAGAAGAAATCAGTAACTATGCAAGTAAATAAGATTTACTCTCAAGCAATGACTAAATCTCAATGTCAATAAACAACTCAGAAATGGCAACGGCGCCAAATTTTGATAAGGTTTTTAAGCCATATAACAAATCAATGTAGTATTTTAGATGTCAATCCAATCCTGAGTGCTAATGAACAAATAGAATGCAAGACATTGCTAAATCTAAATGAAATCAAAGGGGTTTCTTTTATAGGTAACAATGTAACTAGCAATGTAAGTAAACAAGAATAACTAAGTTTTAGTTTCAATGAGATAAAAAAAACATATGGATAAGGGTACTGACTTTGGGTGATCAAGCTACTCTCTAGGGTGAGGTTTCAAACAATCAATCATATCTTATAAATCTAGACACAATCCTAAGCTACTCCTTTGTCAAGGCAAAAACTCATTTGCTATCAATCTCTAAACATCAAGTGTCCTTGGTCTAAATCAATCAAGCAATCATTGATAACAAGTCTACTAACCATCTAAACCTTCCTAACATAATTGTCTTTGGTTAAGCAAGCAAAAAGCATTATTACTTCAGTTCAGGCATTTCATCGAACATTTTGTAGACATGAAATGTCTAATGATCTAAAGTAAAAGGGTTATTTTTAATCTAGCATAGAAATCAAGTAATAAGCATAGAACAAGAACAATCTAACACTAATCACCCTAGATCATCACTTAATCACCCTAACCCATAAGCTCAAAGAGAGTCTACTCGCTAATCTTCATGTTTAATCCTAAATCCATAATGGATAGAACACTAATCAAGATTAGAAAAGGAGAAAGACTCAAATTACTCAAGAAACAAAGATTAGATCAATCAAGGATTCAACTTTCCCAAATGTGTTTTTAGAAAAAAAGAAGATAAGTACCAACTTTGGAATACAAAAGTATTTATAGGGGCTTGAAAACCCTTAAGAACATAAAAGAAATGACCAAAAGAGCCTTGGAAAAATATAGATTTCGACCAAAAGAAGTTCACACCCGGGTGGTCCAAGCCGGGTGGGTGCTTCAGCTCCTCCTCTCGTCCCGGCCAAGCGGGTCTTCTACCCCAGGTTCTCCACCTCGGGTGGTTCCTCCAGTTTCTCCTCTCGTCCCGGCCGAGCGGGTGGTCGACCGCGGGTGCTTTACCCCAGGTTTGTTGATATGCCTTCAGTGATTTGATCACAACTCCTCCAATATAGTTCTAAATGACTTGAAACCACTTCCATTGAAAACTTAACTCAATTTTCTGTGTCTCCACAAAATCTTAGCAACATAAGATTTATCTAAGGCCTCCGTCCATGTGCATCTTTCACCCCCTTTTGGATTACAATGCTCCGAATCACTCCATAGCATCTCTAACACCTAATAAGAACAATGCATGCAATATGGACACTAAAGTTGACTAATTCCTGATCTATATAATAAAAATGCACAAGATGTGAATACTAAAACTATACAAATATGCCCCATATCATACCCCGCGAATGATCGGAGTCCAGAATATCTAAACTATCTCGCCCTGGTTGGGCAAGAAGATCATCCTCAGTATATGCAGAAGATCATCCTCAGTATATGCAGCATATACTGCAGATGGAGGTACACACAAATCTTCTAACCCTTTCGAAACCCTAAACTCTTAATAATTTTTTTAACTCAAATGAATAATTATTATATTAAACTACATTTGTTACACATCCGTTAACTAGTATAAAACAACAACAGTTGTTACATAATTTATATTTTGGAATCATTCGAGTTCTCAGCAACATCAGGAGAATCATCATCGCATCCATCAAACTCGTCTCCACCTGCTTTATCAATCACATCGTCGGGAAGATCTTTATATTGACGGTTATCCGAATCATTAAGAAGGATTTCATTAGTTTGTTAATCAGGTACCTTTACTTCAGTGATACACGCTTCTTCTTGAAAAGGTGGTTCTTCTTCAGCAATTATTCGTCCACGAGGTGTAATTTTGATAACAACTAACCAAGTTATCCCTGAATTTCTAAGGCAAGGGTATGGGATGAAGCTAACTTGCTCGGCTTGAGAAGCTAAGATGAAATGTTCGAATTTGTTGTATTTTCTTACAATTGTAAATGTTGTTTCTTCAACATTTCCAATTTCATCAGCTATTGTTGTAGTAGTTTCTAAAAATGCATCAATAATCATGTCGTGAACCTTATCATGATCTACCATCTGTTCAGCAGCCTGATTATATTCGTTATGCAAATGATTCGGTTCCTCATTATTATCGGCATTCTGAAAATTACTATTACTACTACTAGCTTCATTTCCTCCATAAGTCTCTCCATGTTGAAACCAAGTATACTACTGTGGTGTAAAACTCTGTGTACTAAATGTTTCCAGACAGTTACAATACGGAATATTTTTGAATTACTGCATTTTCGACAAGGAAAGAACCTCTTACCACTTTCCAGCGTGAGCGGTGTACAACCTGCCTTGTACATGAATGTCTATAGCCCGCCAAGAAATGCATTCACCACTCTACCATCATAATCTTTATGCGTATACATTCAACTCCGCAATTCGAAAATATTTCTTCCATTAGACATTTTTTGGATGTTTTTCTATGTTTTTCTTTTGTGTGTTGGTATGGAATGAGAATGCTCGTATATATAGAAAAATTTCGAGTTTTGTAAGTGAAAAGTTTACTAAGTATTTACAGAGAAAGATTTACTATGATTTTACATGTCCTTAACATCTTGGTTACAACGTATTTACAAAAAAAATAAAGTTTGGTGAACCACACATTTAAAATCGTTTTCACTGAACAACTTTCGTCGTAGTGGAGTTATAAATTTACGACGTCATTACAACGAATGGATAAATATTAAATTTATTTTTATTGGATTTCTTCCAAAAAAACTAAAGGGAGTGCATGATCATCAAAACGGTTTTATCAACTCCATATAGCTATTCATCGACTTCTCGAGGAAAAACTATGCGGATTTGATAATAACAGTTCTGGTGACTATGCACACCTTTTAGTTTCTTAAAAAATCGATGCATAAAATCGTCGTAATATTTTATCTTGATTTTTATATATATATATATATATATATATATATATATTTTGTATTTGTTTGTGTATTGTTAGAATTGAGGAATGACATATATATAGGAAATTTCGAGCTTGGTTGGTAAAGGTGTAACAACGAATTTAGAAAGAAAAGTTTTACTAGGATTTTACAACTCCATCGTGTTTGCTTTACAACGTTTTTACAACAAAAGTAATTAGATTAAGTGCAATGATACACGTTTTTATTTAATGTAACGGTTAAATGGTTCATCGTAAAAGCCAAGTAAAATTACTAAGCTTTTACAATGAAGCTTCTAATTTCTAGTTAACATATAAATTACGACGAATTTTTTCCTTGTAATTTTATTAAGACTTTACGACGAATATTAAATTTCTCGTAAAGTACTTATAAACAACTCATTCCTTATAATTTTACTAAGACTTTACGATGAATATTAAATTCCTCGTAAAGTACTTATAAACAATTCATAAAAATTAAAGGAAATATTTTCCTCATAATTTTTTCTCGTTAAAGACATGTTTTGTTGTAGTGTCTGACTAATAGATTATAGGGTTAATCGGTTTATATCTAAACCATATATTAAATTAAATTTCATTTCATCCATACCATTTATATCGTATGTCCGTACCACGTTCCAGAAGTTGATTTTGATGATTGAAAGAGAAGTTGATTTTGATGATTGAAAGAATACAAGACATGGCCAAGCTTCACAACATAATTAGAAACTCTAAAACATTCCAAGGCTTTAGGATATTCTTTTTGTTTTTTGGTAAGGCTTTAGGATTTCTTACATACTTCGAGCACAAACCATGATCGCAGATTCACTAGCCAAACTGTTAGAGGTTTTCATAGATATATATATATTTTTTATGTTGGTTGTTTTATTCCATCCTAGCTTCCAGACTTTGATTAACCGAATTACATTTTTTGATGTTAAAAGACAACAAAGACAAACCGAATTCTCGGTTAGAATCGATTTTACAGAACTGAACATCCTTAGTTAGTTCGCAGTTTAAAAGAGGACTGAAAGGTATCATAGCTACAAGAAATGATAGAATGAGATAAGAAAAATACATGAAAACTAGTTCCTCTTTGTCTGGAAAAGCACAGATGAGTTTGAATGTTGAACACTGACTACTTTCACAGCGCTTAGCATAACCACAATATCCAGACTGTTCAAAATCTTAATCTCTCTTAAAGATGCTTCTCTGATTATTTTAGATAAACTGTAGAAACAAACCAAATCAAACCATACAATCTCTAGTACATTTAGCTATACGACTCAATAGAGTCGAATAGTGTGTTTCTTAAAAGCTTCAATTTCTCATGGGGTTAAAAGTTTGTTGTGTGTTTACCTGGTCAGTAATTTTCCAGTCAGTTTCAAGGTGACTGCATTCTAGTGATTCCTGGACTTTATCCAAAGCTCTCCTCCGATGTAGCAGCAAAGCATCACTCTGACTCATCTCCTCCTCTTTCTTTCTCCTCGGTAACTTTCTTGTGAAGATCTTCCATTTCGATTCAAACGAGGAAGCTGGAGAATTCAGATAAGGGACTCACAATCACACGGAATGTTGAATTCTTAGAGACGAAGAAAGATTATACCTTGGCTTAGACAAGTGAATCCAGTGATGATGCAGGCACAAAGCCAAGGTCTTCCTGCAGTTGAAGCTTTTGCACCTCCTTTAATTTCACCATTGTGCTGCTTTAATCTGCAACAAACAACAAATAATTTGTCTTTTACAAAAAAAATTAGATTCAATTTCAAAGGAGATGAGAAGATTTGACGAACCGGCGTGCGAAATCGGTGGTGATGCCGACATATGTTTTGATGGGTTCGCTGGTCGAGAGAATGAGATAAACGGACCATGATTTGGGGCTTGAGACCTTAGAGTTTTGTTGGGAAGAAGATATCGCAACTTGGGTTTGGGAAGTTTTAGATTTTATGGAGTTTGGAGATTTGGAGAGAGGGCTGCGGTCGCGAAGCTTGACGGACGGGAACGTCCCAGATATCAATCTCATCATGATCTCAGTGCTCTTGATTTGAAATTATGATCGTCTCTCATGATTTCGTGAAGCGTTGATTAGCAGAATGAAGAAGGAGATGCCAAAGTTTAATTCAAAGAACATCAATCAGAATCAGAATCTGCGTATCGTGTTCTGTTCTGTACTGTTATGTCCTTATGTCGTATTTTTGTTGTGAGCTCACCTTTATTATCAAAATGGGCCAAAAGGTTAAATCAAACCCAAAGTGTCAAAAAGGAAAAGTCGCTAAATCACACTCCTTATAACTTCTTTGTTTCCAAAGACGTCGACCGGTTTTCGAAGATCCACCAAACTTGAACTCATAGGCTCAGTCCTTTGGAGTATCTATAGATGACAAGTGAAAAGACTCATGTCTCTGAAGTGGCAGGATATGAGACATAGAATGGTTACAAATTCTGGTTTGGAGTTGTAGGAACATATTCACCTTTCTATATTATAATTTCATGGTTAGATAAAGTTATAAATAAACTCTAAAAAAGTATATATTCTTTTAAATTAAATTAGACGAAGATACGCGCCTTGCGTAGAATAACTTTGTATATAGACTATTTGTTTTGCACTGGATAACATTTTATATATATATTATTTTTGTTGGGGATAACACTGTATATATAGATTATTTTTGTGTATTATTATGTATTTTCATTTTTATATATATTATGAAATAAAAAAATAAGAATATATATCGAATAATTGAAAAATCAGTAACTACAACATATAGATAACTAAATTGGTGTAAATATACAAATCAAAACAATAATTCTTGATTATATACAAAATTTTTTGATAAATAAATCCAAACAGTTACTTTTATATATTTATATGGTATGTAATTAATTCTAAATGATATTAGTATACATATATAGTATATTTCTGATATGATTGTTTATTAAATAAATCTTTCTACTCATATGGTTTAATGATCATTTGTATTTTTATAATTAAATCACTGATAAAAACTTTTCTTAATGTGTGACGTTTATTAGTTTTATTAATTTATGAATCTTTTTAAAAAATTCAATGTAAAGTTCAAAATTTTAAATAGTAAGTTCTCAATATATTTTCAAAGCAAATTTGAAAATTATAAGATTTACGTATTTGATTTGGTATAAATAAAACAATATTAAAATAGATGTAGGTTTTTAAACTCAATATTTATTAAATGATTTCCTATTAATATGGTTTATAATCATTAGTATTTGTTATAATATATTTTTTTAAATCACTGATCAAAAAAAAATTTAGTGTGAGACTTTTAAAAATTTTAGTAATTTATTCTCGTTTTTATTAATTCAAAGTATAGCATATATGGAAAATCTAAAATTTTATTTTAGGATTAATGTGATTGTTTTAATTTATTTCAATAATTTAAAATTAAAAAAAAATGATTGACGATACATAATAGCTTTATCAAATCTTTATTAGTGATAATCATTAGTTTTCATATATATTTTAGTCACAGTAGGTAATTCTGTAGTTTTTATTTAAGGAAATAATGAAAACATTAATAGCTAATATTATGGTTCATTTAATAAAACCTTTAGTATATAGTTAGATGGAACAACATATTTGTCTAAAGATTATAAGAATCAATTTAGTAATGATACGTGACTACCTCACATGTTGTAATACTTCTCTTTTAAAATATAGGAGATTTAACCGTTCATTCAAAAAATATAATCCAAGATTCTGATATAACATATTACTCCAACATTCCCAAGCGGTGGATGAGAATTGTAAAGGCAAATATTTTGTATATGTTTTGATTCTCTGATACCAAATTGTTTCTCTCACATGCCCATATGCTAGCCTCTACACTGAAACAAACTACAACAACCAATAGACTGTGAAACAAAACCAAGTGCTTCTTCTTCTTCAAAGAAAAAAACAAGTGCTTAAGATAATGGATATGACCATCATATTGAACAAACTCAGTTATGGAGTGTTGTTTTTTTTTCTAACACTATGGAATGTTATTTTTTAATTAATTATTTACTTTAAGATGGTTTTGTGATGCAAACGCGGGAAAGATACAAGGTTGCCAAATCCTAGGTTGGGTATGTATCTTGTAGGTCTGAAATGACTATCGAGTCTAATAGACAATTTCTTCAAAACATGTGTGTCTGCCACGCTCGGCTACTCAAAGTTATAGAGCCTCGTACTAGTTGTAAGCGTGCTTGACTACTATATTAGATCTTTTTCTAAACAATAGATGTGTGACTTCTTTTTGAGAACTAATAGATATGTGACTTGATTGATATCAACACATTGCTTGGATGTCCTTTTTTATAATTCTCCCCATCATGATCAAGTTTCAAGTGTGTCCAGAAATAGAAAATATCCAAAACTTCTAAAGAAAATATAGCAAAATTACTAAAAATAAACATTTAAGCAAAACACAAGATTTCAAAACACTGCTTTTTGAGCAACGGATTTTTGATGTGTTATCATTTTTCTTCTCATCTCCAAGAAAGAAACTCAGGAGATGGGAAGAAAAACAGGGTGTTTGTTCATGAGCAACAATACAAGATACATCAAAAACATGGTGTTTGTTTATGAGCGAATGTACGTTCTACTTATCACTTAGCTTCAACTTTTGGCCTGAATGAAATTTTATTTAAGTAATGTATCTTTTCTTAGACGGCTTAACAAGTAGTGGAACTAGCCAACACGAACCCTTATTTACCAGGTCAGACTTAAATCCAAAATCCAATAATTTTGATTTAACATTTACTTGTTTCTCACTTACTAGCTTAGCGTATATATTTTCCAATAGTTATTGTTGGGCAAGTAAGGGGCATTCAAGTAAAGGGCACTATGAATACTTACAATGAAGCAACTAAGACTACAAAACGCATAATGATCACCATGAGCATTGAAAGGTATTAGCTAATAGCGTACAATTACCTTCTTTTAAAGTAATGCTTATGAGAGGTTTCAGAATCTCTACATTTCTTAAAGATTTCTTTGCTGTCTTCTCTAAAATGTATGCCCAAGAGTTTTTGACGGAATGGCTAAGCTCTTGATGAAAACCTGCTGCGTAAGGGTGATGTACTTAAGATCACTCCTGTGAAAAAATAGTGACTGTGTGGGAAATGAGGATGATGAAGGTGGAGAAGGTGAGGCCACAGCTTCAAGTCACACCTCTGTTGATGGAAGAGAGACAATTGAGGAGCCAACTGTGAAGGAAGATGGGTGTTCTCGAAAGTAGGCACGGTGTGAGTAACATCCAAAAAGACAAGGGGAGATTAAGTTACAGGACATGAGTGCGTTTAAGTTGTATTAAATTTAATTTACATTTTCAAATAGTATGAAATCTGAGTGCTTCCAAGCTTATAGTTATTTTTGAAGATCGAAGGAAACAAAGATAAGGAAAACAAGAAACTTTGTTTTCTTATTATCTTCTTGCTTAACTTTACATGAAACTCCTTACAACTTATATATAAAACTCTAGACCTTATCCACAATGGTGACCTTAGCACATGACAGCCTGTGAGCTAAGACACCCGAATCTATTCCTAACGGTTACCACGTTAGCTGGCCTTAGAGTACCACCACAAGAACGTTGAACCTTGACCACTTTCTGTTGTAAGGAAGACGACAAATACTTGAGCTGCTCCTCCAACTTGTGGGCTTCCGTCTTGTTATTGACTTCAGTTTTACGCCCACTAATGTTCACCGAGGGCCCATGATTCATATTGCCTTTACACCCCCTCAAGCTCAGTGTAGGAGGAAGAGTTACACCGATTTTGCCACACAGCTTGAGGAACGGTTCTTGACCCAAAGGTTTGGTGAATACATAAGCTATCTGGAGAGCAGCAGGAATGTGTCCCACTTCAAGTTTCTTCATAGCAACGTGTTCCCTAACATAGTGAAAATCCACTTCAAAAGGCTTCGTACGCCTGTGAAACATTGGATTAGCACTCAAGCAAACTGCAGATAAGTTGTCACATAACAACAGTGGTGTGATCTTCTGATCCAAACCCATGATGTGAAGAAGATTTTGCAGCCAAGCCACTTTTGAAGCACCTAAGGACATTGTCTTGTACTCTGCCTCCGTTGAGGACTTAGAGACAGTTTCATGCCTTCTTGCGGACCACGAAATGATATTTGAACCACGGAAGGTGCAGAAGCCACGTGTTGATCTACAAGTATCCTTGCATCGAGCCTAGTCACTGTCGCTGTAGCAAACCAACGTAGAATGAGTATCAGCACTGATATTAATCCCATGATCCATTGTTCCTTTCACATAACGAAGAATACGCTTCAGCAACTGGAAATCAGAGACACTGCGTTGATGCATCTTTTGACAAATGTAGTTCACAGAGAACTGTAAGTCTGGTCTGGTAAGCGTTAAGTACTGCAACTTACCTGCCAAACTTTGAAAAGAAGATGGTTCCGCAAAATATTCATCATGTCCCTGCAACTTGTCAAGTTTCATAGGTAGAGGTGTGGGCATTGGCGCGCAATCACTCATTCCTGCAGCTATCAGAAGATCTTTAGCATACTTAGCCTGATTCATGAACAAGCCTCCTTCAAACTTGTGAACTTGAATTCCCAAAAAGTAGTGGATGTCTCCCATATCTTTCATCCGAAATACTCTGTTCAAATCAGTAACCAGTTTCTCCACCATACTCTCATCATTTCCTGTCAGAATCATATCATCTACATAGAGTAGGAGATAGATCACACATCCACTATGATGATACACAAAGAGAGACGGGTCAGGGAAGCTACATTGAAACCCAAAATCAATGAGAAAATTACTGAATTTATCAAACCAAGCTCTTGGAGCTTGTTTGACGCCGTAGATCGCCTTCTGAAGTTTCCAAACATGATCTGGCCTGTTTGGATCTTCAAATCCTTGAGGTTGTTTAAAGTACACAGTTTCTTTCAAATCTCCATGAAGAAAGGCATTTTGAACATCTAACTTCCGAATAGACCACTTCTTTGTGACAGCAATATGTAAAACGACTCAAATTGTTGCAGTTCTAACCACCAGACTGAAGGTTTCAATGAAGTCAACACCTTCTTCCTGCTCATTTCCTCGAGCCACAAACCGAGCTCTCAACT